GGGAATCAAGCGATAAGTAGGCCACTCGTGGTGGCTGTTCTGACAAATTATAGGCTCGATCGCATCACCCATTAGAAAATGGTATTCTCTCCATCTCGTTGTTCTTTTGTCAACGAAAGCATCATATAAACCCGGACTAGGGTATAGAACGGGAAGATCATCCCGACCAGGTCCGGCAAGAATCGCGTTAATCTCTGTAAAAACATGTCCTGGCATATAAGGAATGTCTTCCATTTTGATGAAAGTTGAAATGAATGAGAAAAAGATTTTTGGTAAAAGAAAACTGATATATAAAGGGAGGATCAGATGAGAGAGATAAAGGAAGAAGACGGAAAGTTGCGTTGGTTAATGTGATGGCTGAGTTATCGTACGGGAAACGAAGACGAAAGGTCGCGTTACGACTGAGTTATCTGTAACATAACATGAATATATTCCGTATGCTGAGTTATGTTACGGCTGAGTTATCATATTAAAGAAGACGAAAGGTCGCGTTACGGCTGAGTTATCGTACGGGAGATAGACGAAATGTCGCGTTACAGCTGAGTTAAATATATGTTATGGCTGAGTTATCATAATAATCTAGAAATATGGATTACATAAAACAAACATTGTCTACACATAACCAAAAAACGAGAAAATCCATGCCAACAACATACCAACGATACTACTTCCGACAAGTTTTTGCATTATGCCCAACTTCTTTACATCGAGAACATGCGTGTGGTTTCCTCGGGCGTTTATTCTCAAGTGCAATTTCCACAGTTGATTTAATCCCGCTTTTCTTCGGCCTTCCTGGCTAGGTTGCAACGATCGGAGGCACGCACGGCTGGTTAGTTACAATTTCAGGAAGCAAGAGTGCAGTATCCGGAGGTGAGATTGAATCAGCGTACGCGTTAACCAAATAATTGCTCCGGTAGTTCGGATCGGCCAGTGAAATACGAGACACACCCATATGCTCTGCAGCTGCGATTGCATGGACGCATGGTATTTTCTCGTGCTCGAAACGGCGGCATGTACATCTTTTTGCATCCAAATTTACAACATGCAAAGATGTCCCATATTG